TTTTTTTTAAATTTTGTAGTATAGAATTTAAAACACTGTTGAGAAAGGAAATTATAGATGTATAGGCTAGTTTTTCAGGTTGCAATACATGAATTACTGACTTTTATACAGATTAAAAAGCTTAAGTGACTTGACGCTATTTATTTAAACTAATAATGAGGGTTCAGGATAAAGTAGAATATAACACTCATTTGCAAAGGCAGAACCTTGCCTGCGAAACTGATACATGTCATCAAAAAGCAAAGAGAACATTGATCTCAGGAGAGATCATTTTCTCCTCCATCCCGTCCTTGGTTTTTTTGTTGTTGTTAAAAAAAAAAAAGACTTGATGGATGAAGGCTTGCAGAGCAGATGAGTTTTCATTTAAAAATTAATGTGTACTTTGTTTCATCTCTGCTGATTGCATTCCCCACAATGCAACATCACTTATCCCGTTCCTCCTGTAAAACACACTCCTCCTCCTCTTCTAAGTCCTTGAGTGCTGCCCTTCCTTCTCAAGTGCTTGATTGTGTAACGAGCGTTCCTCACTAGTGCTGGTGGTCCCTTTACAGACCTGTCTAGTCTTGGCCAAAAATTGAGCGGAGTTGAAGGGGAGGGGTATTGATTTTAGTTCCAGCCCTGAAGGCTGCCTAAGGAACATGATCTCAGGAGTTCCACCAGTCTTTTACCTGATGGGTCAGCCTGATCTCTCATGATTTGTTCGTTTTCTTCCACATTTTTCTCCCACCATATCCAGAATCTTCTAAAATGATCCCTTCAGAACATTGGTAGTGATAGCCAGGTACCATCTAATTCTGATCACAGGATCATGGTCACTGATGTTTGTGTGATCCATTAATCCTTTGAACTAATTGTTTCCATGTCTTTCAGTTTTCATATTCTTTGCTCTAGACCAGTTGAGACCAGTAGTTGTAGTTTGGAAGACTGCTCAAAAGCTTTTAAGACCCCAGCCACTCCTCAACAAACTAGGACATAGCACCTTGTCTATTACAGCGGTTGACCTTGGTGTCCCCCGAGACTATGTTCCTGATCCCCCAGATTCAGTGACTCAATTTTCTGCTGCGGTTCATTTGACAGTCCCATCGCAGTGTATCAGAATCCCTCCAAACTGCCCCAGCATTTGTTCTTTTCCGTTTGGTTTTTTAATTTTGCTATTAATGTTGAATTGAAATGAAACCTCATTATTCTTTTCATTTGCATCTCTCTAAGGTTAATGATTGCACAGGCATTTCTTCATGTTTGTTGGTTACCTGGATGTCTTCTTTTGTGAAGTATCCATTTTGGTTATTAGATTTTTTTTTAAATTCCATTATCATTTCATTCTATTTTTCCACAGATTTTTTGAATCCTCCCCCTTACCCCCCAGTAATACATAAAGTTTTATTTTCTTCTTAAGGATGCTATTGATTTTTATCCTCTTTATCATTTTTATAATAAAAAAATTTGTTAGATTTTTTTGCAGTCACAATTTCAAGTTAATTTCTCCCTTCTATAATATTTTTGGTTTTATTAATATTTCTATAAAATCTTTATGTACACATTAATCAAAATTTCACTACTAGCCTTCAAAGCTACATTGAGGGACCATGGATTTACTTTAATTCTTTTTATTCTGGTATGTCATTTTACTGTCATATCGTTTTACTGCTTAGAGAGAGGGAATGTTGTTTTAATTGATTAGTGAAGTACAGTCTATTTTCCATAAATTAATATAATTTGACATTTAACTTGTGAATTTATAGTTCACAATTTTAGACATGCAAATTTTTTATTAGTATTATTCTTACTAAAATTGAGAGCATTTTCTTTCAAAGAGAATAGTGGTGAATAGATTTGGCCCTGAAAAATTTATAACTTCCTATTGTTCGCCAAGTAGAGAGTCCATTTTGGGAAACTTTATTGGAAAATAGTCTTTTAGGCATAAAATGAAAAGAGTCTTAAAAAGTTTACATTTTAATCAGATGTTTACTGTGAATATTCTAGTGAATTAAATTTTGTGTTTTACTACATTTTAAACACATCCAGTTTGTTATACATCAATTTTTTTTCCTTTCCCTGATTATTTAAATTGAACATTTCATATGACATCTAGTTCTCTTTTTGTAAGCTTGCATTTTTTTTAATCTTAATTTATAAATTTTATTTTGGAACTAATTGTATTTATTATTGCAGTTACATGGACACAGGTAGATGAACCACATAGTATCCAATAGGTCTTTTATTTGACCTACCAACTCATCTGTTAATTTCTACTTCCTGTTTGAAAACAAGGTTCTATTTATCCTGCTCATGTGTTTGAAAACAGACTCAAACTGTTCAAATGCAATTAAAAGGTAAAAATCAAGCACGTATTATCAATGGCTTGTTTTCTTGGCAGGATAAAATGCAGGTTGACCAAGAAGAAGGAGGTCATCCAAAATGTCATGCTGAACACACTCCAGAAGAAGAAATTGACCAGACAGGCGCCAAAGCAAAGGTTTGCTTCACTAGTTCTTTGGTTGTGTCCTTTTAAGACTTATGTTTTTAATTAATGTAATAATTTGAAAATGCATGATTTTAATGTTTAATATTTTTAATGTCAGTGTTGTAGAAAGTATAGCAAACAATCGGAATAAATATACTTCAATTATTAATAATAGAGGGCTTTTTAAGAATCCTAACAACATGAGTAAAAGAATATTTTCAGTAGGGAAAAAGGATATATTTTTAAGTAACTTCTTCTCATTTAAAATTTTATCCAGATGTGTAAAGTTTAAATTAGCACTTATCCTGTGTCTCTGAACTAACTATATACTGTACTACATATCATAAAATATTCCTTATATAAAAAATAAATACTTTTGCATCAACTAAGTCCATGAAGCACACCAACCTTTGTGATCCAAGGATACAAATCTGAGGAGGGACTGGTATCACCTCAAATTGTTATTCCTGGCATAGTAAATCATGACTTTCTGATTCAAAATAGCGAGTATCGGTCCATTTCAGTTCACTAATGCCTAGGATATTATTGGTCTTTATGCATTCCAAATTCATATTTGACTATTTCTAATTTTTCTATATTTATACTTCATATAGACCAAGTTCCAATCATTTGCATATTTTTGTAGCTGTGTCTCCCTAGACTGAGTTTCCAAAATCAGCAAATGAAGGGGAAATAAACATGAATGAAGCCTCTGGTGAATTCCCTCTGAACATAGACCAGAAAGGTGAATAGCCTTGGCTATCATACCGAGTACAGAATGTAATTAGGTTAAAATTTAACACCTTATTG